ATATAGTTATTACAGACAAATATACACATCTATATAGTTATTAGACAAATATACACATCTATATAGTTATTACAGACAAATATACACATCTATATAGTTATTACAGACAAATATACACATCTATATAGTTATTACAGACAAATATACACATTTATGTAGTTATTACAGATAAATCACACTAGTGGTCCAAGACAACGTCATGAATGTTAGTAATAACAGATTTTACTGCGAATTCAATCCTTAAATCCTTCATAGATTTATTTAAATAAATTTGCAGAACCCAAGTCTTATACATTCGTGGGTAGGATAAAAACACGAACTTTTCTTGATAAAACAATGTTTTATTTGTAATTTAAAATACGGCCAAATGAATAATCAGTTCTTTTGGTATTCAGAGGTTTTACGTGAGAACATAAGAAAGAAGGAACACTGCAACAGGCCTACTGACCCATGTGGAGCAGGTCCATGCCCCCCCCCGGAAATGAACAATGACCCACACCCCCGGATTAGCCCAATGACCCACCCAGCCTGGTCACCTCCACTCAAGGATGAAGCACTGCACCAGACCCAGCAGCACAGGCTAGTCAGGTCCAACTCACACCCACCCACACCCACTCATGAATTTATCTAACCTATTTTTAAAACTACACAACGTTATAGCCTCAATAACTGTACTCGGGAGTTTGTTCCACTCATCCACAACAATATTACCAAACCAGTGCTTTCCTATATCCTTCCTGAACCTCAATTTTTCCAACTTGAAACCATTGCTGCGAGTCCTGTCTTGGCTGGAAATTTTCAGCACGCTATTTACATCCTCTTTATTTATTCCTATTTTCCATTTACACACCTCGATCATATCCTCCTAATTCTACGCCTTTCGAGAGAGTGCAGATTCAGGACCCTCAGTCTATCCTCATAGGGAAGATTTCTGATACATGGGATCATCTTTGTCATCCTCCTCTATACGTTTTCCAGAGCATTTATATCCATTCTGTGATACGGTGACCAAAACTGAGCAGCATAGACTAAATGAGGCCTAACCAAGGATATATAGAGTTGAAGAACAACCTGATGACTTCTATTATTTATACTTCTAGATATGAAGCCAAGAATTCTGCTAGCTTTATTGCGAACACTAATGCATTGTTGTCTTGATTTTAGATTACTGCTAACCAGAACTCCTAAATCCTTTTCGCAGTCAGTAGTATTAACATCAACATTATTTAGTTTATGTGGGGCATGGTTATTTACCTGTCCAACACTTAGAACTTTGCATTTATCTATATTAAGCTGCATCTGCCACTTCTCCGACCATTGCATCAGTCTATTCAAATCATTTTGGACTGCTCTAGTGTCCTCATTAGAATGAATTGGACGGCCTATTTTGGTGTCATAAGCAAATTTGCTTATGTCGCTATTTATTCCCTTATCTATGTCGTTTATGTAAACTGTGAAAACAACGGGCCCAACACTGACCCCTGAGGAACACCGCTTGTGTCGTGCCCCCATTCTGATTTCTCCCCATTTATGCAAACTCTCTGCTGTCTATTTGTCAGCCATGCCTCTACCCAGGAAAAAACTTCTCCTATTCCGTGTGCCTTATGTTTCCTCAATAGCCTCTGGTGTGGAACTCTATTGAAAGCCTTACTGAAGTCCATATACACAATATCATATTCATTACCATGATCTACCTCGTCAAACACCTTAGTGAAAAAAGTTAGTAAATTCGTAAGACAGGAACGCCCCTTTGTAAAACCGTGTTGAGATTCATTAATCAATCTGTGCCTGTCAAGATGGCTACGAATTGCTTCGGCAATTATTGATTCCATAAATTTTCCCACTATGGAGGTAAGGCTTATTGGTCTATAGTTCGAAGCCAAGGATCTGTCACCTGCCTTGTAAACAGGTATTACATTTGCCATTTTCCACTTATTAGGCACTATGCCAGTTTGTAGTGACATGTTAAAAAGATTAGCCAAAGGTATGCTAAGTTCCTCTTTACATTCCTTTAACACCCTTGCAAATAGTTCATCAGGGCCTGGGGATTTGTTAGGTTTTAGTTTCTCTATTCGTCTGAGGACCATGTCACTAGTTACCGCAATTGTACATAGTTTATTATCATCCTGTAATACATAATCTATTATTTCAGGAATGTCGCTAATATTTTCCTGGTTGAAAACCGAGAGGAAGTAGGTATTTAGAATTTCACACGTATCCTTATCACTGCCAGTGATCTGACCAGAGTTACTCTTAAGTGGGCCAATCTTGTCCCTAATCTTACTTCTGTATACCTGAAAGAACCCTTTTGGGTTAGTCATCCCTTGCGACCTTAGCCTCATAATCCCTTTTTGATTTTCTTATTCCTTTATTTCTCTCTTTAATTGAATATATTGATTTCTTAACTGCCCATCCCCTCTTTTGATACGCCTATATATGCCTCTCTTTTGACCAGTGAAATGTTTTAATCTATTGTTCATCCACTTGGGATCATTTTTGTTAGATCTAATTTCCCTACTCGGAACAAAAGTTGTCTGAGCAGCTAGAACTATGCTCTGAAAAACGTCATATTGGCAACCAAGATCACCTACCTGACCCATAGTCAGGACATCCCAATTTAACCCACCCAGGTAATTTTTCAGTCCCATGAAGTCGGCCAATCGAAAATCTGGGACAGATTTGATTGCAGTTATCTGGGTAATTCCATGATATACTGAAACTAAGTGATTTGTGATCACTTTCCCCAAGCTCATCATTAACCTTAAGATTATTATTGTTGTCTAAGACAACAATTTAAATTTTCTCTGACATACATCGCCACACCACCACCTTTCCTGTTGACCCTCTCAGTGTGGAATCGTTTACAACCCTGTATGTTGCATTCAGAAAGCATTTCTCTATCTTTCAGGTTGAACCAGATCTCTGTTATACCAATAATATCTATATTACCTACACTTGCATGTAATCTTATTTCTTGAACTTCTACTATTTGTATAGTAAACCTTAATAAGGGAGCTAGTCACTCGTTGCCCTCTACTATCTCTCTTTGTTTGTTGATCAATTGATTTGCCTTTACTAGCAACTTTAGTTTGAATATTGTCTTTTAAACATATCCCTGAGGTATCCCGGTAATAACTGCTGTTTTTAACCCTAATACTGCAGCCTCATGGTTTCCCACAAACACCCATGCCTCTATAATCTATCAGTTTAAATTCCTAGACAAATCATCAATTACCCTCTCAATTGTATTGGCTAATGCAACCACTCCATCCCCAGAGAGATGAACCCCATCCCTTGCATGCATATCACGTTTGCCAAAGAATAGGTCCCAGTTATCAATGAATGTGATTGCAAGTTCCTTGCAGTACCTGTCTAACCAGCAATTTATACCAATTGCCCTAGACATCCATTCATTGCCCACTCCCTTTCTAGGCAAGACGCTACATATAACTGGGATCCCTCCCTTAGACCTTACTACTTCTAAGGCTGACCTGTACTTATCCAGCAGCTCCTCTCTCCTGCCCTTCCCAATGTCATTACCCCCAGCACTAAGACAGATAATGGGCTTGTTCCCATTACCTGCCATAATATTATCCAACCTGCTGACTATGTTACCAACACCAGCTCCAGGAAGGCACACTCTCTGCCTGACCTTTCTGTCTCTGTTACAAAATGCACGGGGTTAAGAATGAAATGCTGAAAGCAGGTTGAAAATTTGCTGAATATGATAATAATAATAATAATAATAATAATAATAATTTTATTTACTACAATGCATGTACAAGGTATACAGACCATAGCTGACATCTGTGACATACTACTATATAGACAAGCCCCTTGGTATGCTGAGCATTTCGGGCAAATTAGGTCAGTGTCCCAGGATGCGACCCACACCAGTTGACTAACTCCTATGTGCCCATTTTACTGATGGGTGAACATAGACAACAGGTGTAAATTAACACACCCAGTGTTTCTACCCTCGCTGGGAATCGAACCCAGACCCCTCGTGGGAGATTCAACATTCCAAAAAAGTCTTTTATGTACCACACAAATAAAAATTTCCCACTTTCATTTTTTTGATGATAGATTAGTTCGTATGGGAGAATCAGTAGACATGTTGCATTAATTACTGGATGAGTTACAAAGACTTTGTAAAATATGAAATATGTTAAGGTGAGAGAGTAAGGAAAATCTGAGGGAACAAATGAACACAGGTCAGATTGGTAGAAATATGTAATGTGGAGGTACAGGTATTTAGGAATTCATTGTCAGTATTTACTTAGTGTTTATTTGGTGCACTAGCAAGATCCCTATTTATATACAGAGGAACATGTTATATAAACGCTATTTTCTCAAATAACACTATGCAAACTGTAGAGTAATTTCTGCTAAGAGAAGTGAGTGGTGCATTTCAAAGCACTATTGGTAATTTTCACTTAGTGAAATATTTAAGTGTATATATATATATATATATATATATATATATATATATATATATATATATATATATATATATATATATATATTATATATATATATATATATATATATAATATATATATATATATATATAAATATATATATATATATATATATATATATATATATATATATATATATATATATATATATATATATATATATATATATATATATGCAATAAGATCACATAAACAGGTGATTTCAGATATATGCAAAACAACCACTGTGAAAGATATAGAAATTCAACGCTTTCGTGACTACATCACATTATCAAGAACAAATTTGTCCTTGATAATGTGAGTATCAAAAGCGCTTGGAATTTCTCTATTTTTCACAGTGGTTTTTTGCATATAATAATATATATATATATAATATATATATATATATATATATATATATATATATATAAATATATATATATATATAATATATATATATATATATAATATATATATATATATATATATATATATATATATACGTCCAGAAGGATTTAGAAGTAAAGTAAGCATATTTATTATATTTTTAATAATACTTTATACAAAAAATAAAAAGACATCTAGAAGCGAAAAATAAAATATTATTCGAATTATTCTTTAGGCTCCATAAATACATGGATCAAATTATTAATATTTGCAACAAAGAGGTTGTTGCAAGTTACTTATTGTGTTGCTGCTGTGAAACATTGTGTTACAAACATGATTTATGTGTTGTTTGTTTGTTACACTGTGTTTAATGTATGATTCATTGTGTTACTAATATGATGACTGTGTTATACATTGTATTTCAAGTGTGAAACATATTTACTTATAATTAAAATATTGGATACAGTACCACAAATTTTAAATCTTATAAAATAAACTTATGAAATATGAAATTTATTGATGATAAAATTTTTAGTAATTCGAAGCTTCAGAAAGTTGATCTTGATATATCTTCTTAAAACTGACCTTGATATCACATTATCTCTAATATTTTATTAAATATACCAGATTTATTTTTCTAGTATTTATAAAAATAAATGATTTTATCGTCAATAAATTTCTCTAAGTCTACAATGTAACAATATACAAAATTCGACTCGAAAATTAAAGAACAAAGTGAATATTTTACGGAAAGTTTACCTCGGTAAGGTAAGAAAATCTAAAAAATGGGATAAAAAATATATATCGAAAGAATTCTTCAGCGCCATGCTGATCACAGTCTGAATTACTGCGGTAAATTAGTGAGTATATCTGTTTCCCGCCTGTGAATTGGCGCAGTAAACTGTTGGTATAAATATGGTGCATACTGTATAAAGCAGGGTATACTGTAGTATTGTACCCTCTATATACATCAGCGAATGGATATAATGTTACAAAAATGGCATAATTCAATAAAATGTATTATATACGATATAATAAATCTGTAATCGACAGAAGATTTAAGCTCCATTAACTTATTATTACAGAAAATACTTTCTTTTAGCGAAATTATTTAAAATGACTACGGTTGTTTAGCGAAATTATTTAAGATGAGTTTACTAAGAGCAAGAGATGTGTAAAACATTGCTAGTTAAACCTTTATAAAACATCTGGAATGTTAATTGTCAATAAAGAATTGTGTCATGTAGAATGAAGACAAGTTTAAATCTCGAGAAATTAACATTTGCTTTGGAAAAATATGTTTCAAATGAATTAAGAAATTTGATTCAACTGGTATAATTGAGAACTGCTCGTACGTATTAGATAATATAGACTCAGAGATCGAAAACTCCAGGATAGCCAGGTGATGTAGTCAAGGAGAGTGATGCTGCCTGATACACCAGCGAAGTTATCCCTCCTTGTAGGTATGGTAGCATGTTTGGATAAGTCGAGGTAGTCAAGGTGACGATAGGGCAGTTCCTGAAGTGAGTGGGTATTCCTGGTGGTGTTATGGCATTTCTAGGGCTGATATGACATCCCTGATGGTACGAAGGCCTTCTTCGCAATCCCATAACATCCCTGGTGGTAACAGAGTATCCTTCTGTCCTCAAAACATTTCAGGTGGTGTTGTGACATGCCTGACGCTGTCTGACATGCCTGACGTCCACTGACATGCCTGACGTCCACTGACATGCTGACGCCCACTGACATGCCTGACGCCCACCCATGCGTCACTAAATCACAGATTCTTGCAGGTCCAAAACTATACCTGTACACACAACAAAATTAGTTATTAGTTAATTATTTTATCATAAAATATAATAATCAAGGAACCTGTATGAGGAGGCATGAATATAAGTGGGAGAAAAATTCTAACGTGGGTGAAAAATATTTCAAGAATTATAAACCAAGAAATTAAGTGAAGAATTTTTTTTTTATATTTTGAGAGCATATCTTGTACAGACATAATACACATACATATAGTATAACACTGTTGAGAACAATAAGGACATACATAAGAGCAAATCTTACCTTTCAGTCGGGAATCAAGAAATAATTTAAGCCTCTATTGCCTCCTCAGGGAGAGATATAAACACCCAAGGCCATGGTGCAGACGGGTCCATGCTAGCTACCTGCTACACTTGCTGGTTACACTTAACCTGCTTATAGTTTTAGTAGTTTCACCTGGCTTATATAAGTACATGAGCTGGAGAAGGCGGTAATGGACGTGAAGGTCGTCCAAGGCAAGTTTCCACCAATAGCCTGGTTGACTCTTGTCATCAGTAGCCAATCGTGGGACGGTGCTGTTATCGCTGCGTCATAGCTGGTCACTGCTTATTATGAAGGAGGGGTTTAAGTGTGTGTGTGTGTGTGTGTGTGTGTGTGTGTGTGTGTGTGTGTGTGTGTGTTGTGTGTGTGTGTTTGTGTGTGTTTTTTTATCTTCACCAACACCAGCAACAGTTACCGCTACTTATCATACATTTACCATCTATTTCATGCCTGCATCTCCTCCTTCACTGTGTCCTTGTCATTTCGTCGCCTGAAGATATCATTTTACATCTCTTTCTCCCTCTCCCTAATTTCTCTCTCTGTTCATCTTCTTTCTTATTCTTCTCTTCGCCATTTCTTCTCCTTTTCTCTTCTTAAGCTTCCTTACTGCGCTTTTTATCTCTATATTCTCTTCCAACATTTATTTCAAATTCACATTCTCACTAATTTTCTTGTCAGTCTAAACTTTATTTCCATTGCGATTGTTATCCCAGGATTGTTATCCCAGGATTATCCCAGGATTGTTATCCCAGGATTGTTATCCCAGGATTGTTATCCCAGGACTGTTATCCCAGGACTGTTATCCCAGGACTGTTATCCCAGGACTGTTATCCCAGGACTGTTATCCCAGGATTGTTATCCCAGGATTGCAAAGTCTTCAGTCGTCCCTGTGTGTGTTTGTCCACCTCTGTCGACTCACGTTAATTAAAAAACCTGTGCTCACTATACGACATAAATTAGCACTGTTCTCGTTAAATATTAAATGTACTCTTAAAAAATACAAGACGTGTAGTGAGTTTTTCTCAAATAAAGTTGCCATTATTATTATTATTATTATTATTATTATTATTATTATTATTATTATTGTTATTATTATTATTAATATTTTGGTTATTGTTAATTATTTTTAATAATAATAATAATAATAATAATAATATTTATTATTATTATTATTATTATTATTATTATTATTATATTAACGCAAATTTCTGTATCATTATTATAAAATCAAATTACTTAATTATTCGAATTTTTTTTGGCTTTGAATGTGATGAAGTTAAGAACGAGCGTGACATTAGTGTCTCACAAGGTACCTTTTTCACTTGCTTACAGTAGCGGCGCCTGGCTCCTCCTTGTCCAAAGCTCTGAGCAGACGAAGAGACTGACACAAGTGCTGTAGTTATCGTAGCTACGACGGACGTGCAACCATGGATACCCTGGATAGAGTGGCGACCACGGCCAGGCATCGTGGCTACAGTGAGGGTCACGGCCGTCCACTGTAGCTACAGTGATGGTCACGGCCGCCCACCGAAACTACGGTGATGGTCACGACCGCCCAACGAAGCTACGGTGATGGTCACGGCCGCCCACCGATGCTACGGTGATGGTCACGGCCGCCCACCGAAGCTACGGTGATGGTCACGGCCGCCCACCGAAGCAACAGTGATGGTCATGGCCGCCCACCGAAGCTACAGTGATGGACACGGCCGCCCACCGAAGCAACAGTGATGGACACGGCCGCCCACCGAAGCAACAGTCACGACCAGCCACCCAGAATGCTGTGGTTGCAGGAACAACTTTGATTAGTTTTACTGGATATAAGTGTCTTAGAAATTAATGCAGATCATTGCAGCCGTAATTCCTCAAACGAAGTCTTCCATTCTATTGACATGCACTTGAAAATGTAGTCATTTCTTGCAAGAAGGGCATGTCTCAACCTTGTGTGTTTGTCACCTGACACAGAACACCTGTAGCGGCATTTAACTGGCAAATATTTTACCTGGCATATCTAAATCTAAATTAAATTTCTGCATTAACTTTGTCATTACAATTCTGTTTTAAGAGTTCGAATTGAAATCGAAATAAACAACGTGTGGCTCGTTTACAAGGAAAATATTGTGCAAGACTTGATAAATCTGAATTATGAACTGTAGAGCACAGAAACGATCATCCTGCCTCCTTTATTCAACCCAAGAATGACTTCTACGATTCATATATACACTGAGATATATACACTGAGTGGTGTGTATATCCCGCTTTACAGATTAAAGTATCCTTGTAAAGTAGCGACCAGATGACAAACAGCTTTAATGAGCATCGTGTAGTCGACTGGCTTCAAATCAACTAAACCAACGTATGTGTTAGCCTCAACTTCGGTGTTTCTGATAACACAGGAAGCTGTGCTGTCGGTAACCTCAAAATTAATGTCTTGTGCTTCACCACATATCGATAACAATACACCAAGAGTATTCGTCTACATCTCAAGACCGCAAGAGGTAGTGTTCTTTTCTGATTGTGAATTTGGCGCAAAACTTACCGAAGGACGACCCGTGAGGCCAGTGGATGCTTCACCTCTCATCGTATTATCATTTGACTGAGACACTTATCCCGTTTCTAGACAAACGAATTACCATCACTACAATCCTGCGAGCCGCCCGATGGCAACTTCACTGAAATAAGCGGCTCCTGTTTTTAACGCCAGAGATCCCACACCTCTTTCAAATACACCTGTTGTTGCTGTTACCCAAGATGCAAGTGCTGTGGGTCCTCGTTATGTACCTTGACACAGGTGCATTATCAAGTAACGTCCCGTAACTTGCCAAAAACCTTAAATGATTCTCCAACCATTTCTTAAGGGCTCAATTATATTAATCATCATCCAAAGATTACTTGAGATGGATCATATCCAGATATGCAGACATTCATCATCAGACTCCTGAAAGCCCATCAACATTAATCATCGTCTGGATACATAAGTCAATATAGAAAATGAGGTTCAAGAAAATGGATCAATATTTAGCTATATTATGAATCTTAACAGATAAATTTTGATCTTAATTAGGATTCTCTCGGGGACAGAATTCACCATTATTGTTCTGTACCCATACTGTCAATATTCATGATCACTATTGTTAGCCAAAATTGATCAGTAATCAAGCTCAAACAGAATCGATCAAATACATTAATGATCACCCTAGCAGTACATCAAATAATAAGATCAATATGCATCATCAAAAAAATTCAACAAATCGAAAAAAATTCAATGAATCATACAAATGAGTCAATATTCATCCTCATTACAAGGCTCCAACAACTGATCAATATTCATCATCACAAGGCTCTAACTAATGGATCAATATTCATCACATGGCTCCAACTAATGGATCAATATTCATCACATGGCTCCAACTAATGGATCAATATTCATCATCACATGGCTCCAACTAATGGATCAATATTCATCACATGGCTCCAACTAATGGATCAATATTCATCATCACATGGCTCCAACTAATGGATCAATATTCATCATCACATGGCTCCAACTAATGGATCAATATTCATCACAAGGCTCCAACTAATGGATCAATATTCATCATCACATGGCTCCAACTAATGGATCAATATTTATCATCACAAGGCTCCAACTAATGGATCAATATTCATCATCACAAGGCTCCAACAGATGAATCAATATTCATCAACATTCATTCTTACAAAAACTTCAATAATTATGCTCACAATGGATCTAAAGATTTGCATCAAATTTCATCTTCACAACTGATCAAGCAATAGATCAGGAATCATCTTCACGCTGAATCATACAAAATTTTCAATATTCATCACAAGGCTCCAACTAATGGATAAATATTCATCATCACAAGGCTCCAACAACTGATCAATATTCATCATCACAAGGCTCCAACTAATGGATCAATATTCATTATCACAAAGCTCCAACAACTGATCAATATTCATCATCACAAGGCTCCAACAACTGATCAATATTCATCAACACAAAGCTCCAACAAATAGATCAATACTCATCATCACAATGATCCAATTAATAGATCAATATTTAACACAAAGTTCCAACAACTGATCAATATTCATCATCACAAGGCTCCAACTAATGGATCAATATTCATTATCACAAAGCTCCAACAACTGATCAATATTCATCATCACAAGGCTCCAACTAATGGATCAATATTCATCATCACAAGGCTCCAACAACTGATCAGTATTCATCATCACAAGGCTCCAACTGATGAATCAGTATTCATCATCACAAGGCTCCAACTGATGAATCAGTATTCATCATCACAAGGCTCCAACTGATGGATAAGTATTCATCATCACAAGGCTCCAACTGATGAATCAGTATTCATCATCACAAGGCTCCAACTGATGGATCAGTATTCATCATCACAATTCTCCAACAACTGATCAGTATTCATCATCACAAGGCTCCAACTGATGGATCAGTATTCATCATCACAAGGCTCCAACTGATGGATCAGTATTCATCATCACAAGGCTCCAACTGATGGATCAGTATTCATCATCACAAGGCTCCAAGAGATGGATCAGAATTCATCATCACAAGGCTTCAACTAATGCGTCAATATTCATCATCGCAAGACTCCAACAACTGATCAATATTAATCATCACAAGGCTCCAAGAGATGAATAAAAATTCATCATTACAAAGATCCAAATAATGGATCAATGTTCATGATCACAAGGCTCCAACAACTGATCAATATTCATCACAAAACTCCAACAACTGATCAATATTCATCATCACAAGACTCCAACAACTTATCAATATTCATCATCACAAGGCTCCAACAACTGATCAATATTCATCTGCACAAGACTCCAACTAATGGGTCAATATTAATCATCACAAGGCTCCAACAGATGAATCAATATTCATCATCTCAAGGTTCAAAAAATTATCCAATATTCATCATCACAAGGCTATAACAGACGAATCAGTATTTTCCATCACAAGGTTCTATCAGATGAATCAGAATTCATCATCACAGGGCTCCAACAGATTAATCACTATTCATCATCACAAGGCTTCAACTGATGGATCAATACTCATCCTCACAAGGCTCCAAATAATGGATCAATACTCATCATCACAAGGCTCCAATTAATCAAAACGCCTCATCACAATGCTTATCTAAAGGATCAATATTCATCATCACATGCTTCCAACAGATGAATCAATATTACTCGTCACAAGGCTCCAACTAATGGATCAATATTTATCATCAAAAGGCTTCAACAATTTATCAATACTCATAATCGCAGGGCTTCAATAGATGAATCAATATTCATCATAACAAGGCTCCAACTAATGGATCAATATTCATCATCACAAGGCTCCACCAGAAGAATTAATATTCATCATAACAAGGCTCCAATAATGGATCAATATTCATCACATGGCTCCAACTAATGGATCAATATTCATCACAAGGCTCCAACTAATGGATCAATATTCATCACAAGGCTCCAACTAATGGATTAATATTCATCATCACAAGGCTCCAACTGATGATTCGATATTCATCATCAAAAGGCTCCAACTAATGGATCAATATTCATCATGAGGCTCCAACTAATGGATCAATATTCATCATTGCAAGAGTCCAACAAATGGATCAATATTCATCATCACAAGGCTCCAACTAATGGATCAATATTCATCATAAGGATCCAACAAATGGGTCAATATTCATCATTACAAGGCCCCAACAAATGGATCATTATTCATCATCCAAAGGCTCCAGTAAATGGATCAATATTCATCATCCAGAGGCTCCAACTAATGGATCAATATTCATCACATGGCTCCAACTAATGGATCAATGTTCATCACAAGGCTCCAATTAATGGATTAATATTCATCATCACAAGGCTCCAACTAATGGATCATCATTCATCATCTAAAATCTCCAATAAATGGATCAATATTCATAATCCAAAAGCTCAATCAAATGAATCAATATTCATCATCACAAGGCTCCAACTAATTGAACAATATTCATCATCCAGAGGCTCCATCAAATGAATCAATATTCATCATCACAAGGCTCCAATTAGTGAATTAATATTCATCATCACAAGGCTCCAATTAATTAATTAATATTCATCATCACAAGGCTTCAACTAATGAATCAATATTCATCATCACAAGACTTCAACTAATGGATCAATACTCATCATCACAAGGCTCCAACTAACTGACCAATATTCATCATCACAAGGCTCCAACTAATGGATCAATATTCATAAGGCTCCAACAAATCGGTCAATATTCATCATTACAAGGCTCCAACAAATGGATCATTATTCATCATCCAAAGGCTCCAATAAATGGATCAATATTCATCATCCAGAGGCTCCATAAAATGAATCAATATTCATCATCACAAGGCTCCAACTAATGGATCAGTATTCACATGGCTCCAACTAATGGATCAATATTCATCACAAGGCTCCAATTAATGGATTAATATTCATCATCACAAAGCTCCAACTAATGCATCAGTATTCATCATCACAAGGCTTCAACTAATGAATCAATATTCATCATCACAAGGCTTCAACTAATGAATCAATATTTATCATCACAAGGCTCCAACTAATGGATCAATACTCATCATC